ACGCTCAAGGACGAAGCCAGAAATTTGATTTAGAGGGCACAAAATTCTAAAATTCTTTTGTGAGTCATTTAGATTTCATTTACCCATATTTTATAATTTTTTAGGATATTAAAAGACAAAAAGTTTTATACATACAGCATAACACCGATAAATGGAAGCTTATCAATTTATATTAATAAAATTTATATTGGTTTTGAATCAAAAACTATTTTTATGCATGTACCATTTATATTATCCATAATCAATTTTATATTAATTAGATATATTTAATTATTTTTAATAACATAAAATTTAAGATTATTAAATAAATAGTATAAACATATAATTTTTTTGGTAGAGTTACGTACATCAAATGAACTTTAGTTTAATACAATATAAATCATACTAAAAAATCATATATAATTAATGTTAAAACTTTAGATCTTAACTATTTTCTATATTTATTTTTACCTAAATAAAATTATTGTGTCTATAAAAATTAGTCACAAAAAGAAAAATGATTTCTTAAGTCCTACATTTTTTTTTTATATTTGAATGGCCCCTATAATTTAAATTAACTTCAAATATAAAAGTTTGTACAAATAAAAATTGACATACCATGTTTAAAATTTTTCAAAAGCTTAGGGGGGCGGCTGCGCCCCTTGTCCTACACTAGCTCCGTCCCTGCACCAGAGACACGCAGTGGTTGATAGCAAGTCAAGCACCGGAATTTAAATAAAAGTTGCTTCTTGTCCACCCAAATTTCAAATGTCATGCCAACCACTACTATGGCCGTCCCATGCCCACGGCTCTATTAAAGACTGCAGTGATATTTAAAAGTTTCAAATTCAAACTTTGACAATTTTGTTTCTTATTTCCGTATTAATTAAAAAATTTCGAATGTCATTAATCAAAATCCCTGTTTCCTGGAAAATTCCGTCACTATACAAAATGAAACCTGCAAGCTTTCCCTCTATTTATATTCTGGCCTTTGTCTATGGTAGGTAGAAAATATTTAAGCAAGGTCCGAGTGGAAGAAAAATACAAAATGACATATTGGTTTGAGTGGAAGGAAGGCAGTTTCCCCTGAATAAGATCTTAAGTTTGA